TTTTTTTTTTTTTTTTTTTTTTTTTTTCTTCTTTTCTCTTTGTCTGATCATATATTATGAGGCAGCAGCCTCCTTGAGGATTCCTTGTTATCCATATTTCATTTTCCAGCTATCATGCCTTTTCTCCTTTAATTTGACCTCCTCTTTTTACAAGTTGTGATCTCTTCTGTAAGTGAAGGTGAGGGTGATTGGGGCTAGAGAGGAAAATAGTTTTAGGAAAATACTATGAATTAACTTGTTCTAGTGAACTGTGTTCTTTATCCTTCTAGTAGCCCATATGAAATTATGGGAAACCTCTACCTAACAAAAAGGTGGGGAAGCCAATGTAAGGTGCATCTTCTTGTTGTCTTTCTCAGTGGCATAAGCTAGTTAATGCCTCTATCTTGACCAGTTATTTTGTGCATTAACATTAAAGACACTCCAATTTCTGCACATTTCCAAGCTTGATACATGCAAGGTTTCTATATTCTCTACTGTGGTCCAATTTGCACTTTGGGACATTGCATGGATACAGCAGTTTGTTGTGTGGAAAGCCCAATCATTAAAAATTAGATTTGTTCTCCATAGTGAGATTTCATTCAGAGGATATTTAGCCTACACATCTTCTGTTGTCTGTCACTAATTGTTAAATTTTTTAGTATCTTATTATGGAAGATAGGAGAGATGCTAATCCTCATTTTCCATATATAACCAAGAATTACCTGCATTTTTGACGGACTTATGGTGAGGTTTCTCAGCTAACAGTAAACTATTCCATTCCGTAGTGAGTTTTAATTCGTGGGACATTTTTAGCCTAAATGTCTTATGTTGTCTATTTGTCACCTTACCATGGAAGATAGGAGATATGCTTATTATTGCATTGGCCATAAATGAACGAGAATCTGGAGACTTAAAACTTGTGTGAACCTGGCCTTGATTTGAGGTCTATGCCATAAGATGTCCCACGTTATAGATTTCAAATGTGTTTATGTGCATTCTACATAAACTCTTTCAAGCAATGCCACCTTTAGCAGCATTCATTATGTAAACTGATACTAAGTCCTTTATACTGAAAAAAGGTAATCTCCCTGAATGGGGAATACGTTGAGTTTTGCACTGTTATACTGTTACCAATCTTAACCTGTCAGTCCTTTCATACTGAAGTTGTTAGCAAAGCCAATTGTGCTTATGTAGTATGCTTCCAAAGTGGGTTTGAGGGTTTTGAAATTATTATGGATCTATATTGGGGTATCTTATATTTCAAATTCTCTCCATCCTCATGTCTTCTCTCTTTTTACCCTTTCCAGAGTACTCTCGAGACTCTTGTGGCAATTGCAGCATTGGCTTCTTGTGGTGCTATCTGTTCACTAATTCCTTCAAGAAAGCAGCATCATCATCTGTAAGTTGAAAATAGTTCTTCCTTTTTGACTCTTTAAGCATGATCTGCTAGAACCTATGCCTTGTAAATATTTGTGGTGGCATCCCCTGGATAGGTTCATGTTTGTGAACCAACTAGCAATCTCACCCCCCTGGATTTTATCCTTAACTTCTCCTTCTCCCCTCTCAGACACCTATTAATGAGTTGTATTTTAGTAGTACAAATTCTGAACCTAGTTTGAATAAATACAACTTGAAGTTAAATTCATGGATGGAAGACGGTATGTGGCTACGTATGGAAGTTTCTTCAGCAGTTGATGGTGGAAGGTGGCTATAACCTAATTTCAAACAAATCAACTTGACTTGAAGTTAAATGGCTGGATGAATGGTGGGTGTATTATGATTTTGTTGCAGTTGGAGGTATAACATTATGTAATAGTTATAACTAAAGACTTTACTATAAGAGAAGGAACTGCTGTTAGCTAAGGCATCTTGTGATGCCTGGCTGTTAGCGGTTTTGATTCAACGGTTTCCCATGCTTTTTACTTACATTTATGTATTTTTGTTTGAATTTAGCTCTCCGTATAAAAGCTGAACTTTGTTTCTGCAGGGATCAATTCAGGCGGGCTATTGTAAAGCATGGTCGTGCTGAGTTTCTTAGTAGGTCTCCAAGAACCTATCCTAAAGAGAAGTTGTGGAATAGTCCAATAAGTCCGCCGGCATGGTCAAACTCTCCTGTTAGAGGTATCATATCATTCTGTCTTGCAGTGCCTTCTGCTCTGAAGTTGATTGTACAGTAGCTCATCGATTTTATTTGGTTCTGTTTGGCTGTCCTATCACAGGTGTACTTTCATCCTCTACCAGTTCAGGGACGAAACCAGGATTACTACTCAACTTTCCACAAGAAACGTAATCGGAAGAAGTTTACAAAGCAAGAGTGGGAAGATTTCACTCGAGAATCAACCCGAAAAGCTATGGCAGAACTAGCAGCAACTCCAGCATTCATTGACTGGGTCATTGAGCGTGCAGACCGTATAAAGCTCATTTCAAATGACAGTACAGATGAATCAATTGGGAGCAAATCGAGTTCTATAAACGAAGAAGCTGAAGAGAGCAGCAGTCAGTTTAGATTCTTTAGTTGGAAACCATGAAGTTGAAGATAGCATTAACCCGGGAATTACACAAGAACATGCTAAATTAGCATCAAATTTAGGAAATTTAGCAGCCATTTGCCAAGTGCAATATCTCAGCTTCGAAGAAATTTAGCAGCCATTGGACATTTTCCAGAAAATTAACTAACCATGTAATGCATAAGATGTTATCATTTGATGTAACTTGAGTAATGTACAGACGAAGCTAGGTGAACTGCGAGCACGTAACTTTTTTTTTGGTAGATGTAGATTAGATTTGTAATGCCATTTGTTGCAATATTTTATGGGGCTTTACCTAAGAGCACGAAATCATTCAACAAACTCATCATGAATGCAATCATTTATTTAATTATATATTATAAATGTAAATTTATAATCTTTTCATAGTAGTTAAATATGTCATTACTTATATAACAATGTTTAACATCATTAATTAAATAATTAACATTGATTACCGTAATTGACCAAACATTTGCCCTAGACAAAGACAAAATTTAAAAGAGGATAATGACATGGAGATAAATTTTTTTTATAAATTTTTTTTTTTGAACTGATTTTACAAATAGCTGGGTTCGAACCCCAGCCATGGGAGAGGGGGGAATGCACTATGGTGGCTATTACCACTTGACCCGAAGGGCTTGGTGCATAATTTTTTAATATAATTTTTACATATTATTACATAAATAGATGTATATAAATATTGCAAGTCTAAATATATTAAAAAAAATTAATTATTAAATAATATGTACTATTATATAAAAAAAATTGTAAAAAAAATTATGTCTAAATAATTTTCCTTGAAAAAATGGGAGTTCGGGAATAGCTTAATTTGCAACCTTAAGAACATTCCTTGTAACAAAAGAAATATTGGATGAAAATTTCCTGTAATTGAAGATGAAGACCAAAGAACTAATGGAAAAACTTTGTAGATGTTCGAAAAATACCAGTGGAAAAACAGAACTTTAAAACAAAAATTAGGAATAACCCCCTAAAAATGTCCTTCAACTTAATGTTATCCACCTACTTATTAATGACATCTATGAGTTGTAAAAAAAAATTTTTTTTTTGGGTATTGTTTACACCATAAATTACATTTTTTAAGTAATATCACATGTTAATAGATAAGGTGAGATCAGATCTACTGAAGGGATGCATATTTATAAAAGTTGACTTTGGGAGGGATAAAGGTTATCCAGTTTGTTGCAGTTTGATTTTAAAAGAAACAGAAATCCCTAAAATGGAGGAAGTTCGGTTGAGGAATTATTCGTGATTTGAACAACCAGCAAGTGAAGCGCAAAGACAGTTCGCAAGAAGCGTATAAAAATAAGTTTTCAAGTTTTTCAACACACACGACCAGTTCTACATAGAATTCTATCAAATTTTTAATTCTATAGTTTTGTAATGATTGCTCTCCTTAGCTTGCAAATTTAAGTTTTAGCACAAATCCCAATAGATTTAAGTTATTTTCGGCATTTAAGTAACCAAATTAGTTTGTGTAATTGCTTCTTTGATTTCCTTTCATGCAATAAACATCAAGTTTACTCTAATTTGTATTTCATTCATTTCATTTAGGATCTATTAATTATAAATTCACGGTATTAGTAAAGTCTTTAAGATTGTCTAAGACAGATTAACAACCCATTCCGCAGGAAGGCATCCTTCCCTTTTGTAAATCATCTTAAGAGCGTATATCTCAATCTTAAACTAACGTTCTTCCAGTCATTTTAACAAAGCTCGACCACGTAAAAAGAGAAGATCATTGAAAAAATCTTTTTTTCTTACTTTTCAAAAAAGTAAATGGCACACCTGTCCGCATGTGTGAAGCCACTTTGAAATTTTTAGGAAACAGGTACATATGAAGGTAGTAAATTAGCTAATCAGTGGCGGGGAAATGTAACATCTAATTCTAAAAAGGCAATCAGTCCAGGTGGAGCCAAGTCAAAAATATTAGTTCCAACCAGCAAATTATGCTCAATTTCCGCCAAAAAGTCTGCAACCGAGTTATCTTCACGAGGTGTGCGTTGAATAATAATGGAATCAAACTAGTCAGATCTAAGCCTTTTGATGTCAGAGACAAGAACTGCTGAAAGACTATTTTGCTCCTTCAAACCATTGATAACCTGTATTGCGGACAATGAATCCATTTCAACAACTATATGCTTAACTCCTCTATCCTTGCATAAGATCAGCCTTTCTTTGCAACCCATAATTCAGCTAAGAAAATGGAAACTAATCCAATGTTCACCAAGTGACACTAAATAAAACCACCTGACTAGTCCTGCAACACCCCACCTGCACTTGCAAATTCAGTCTCCTGTACTTGAGAACTATCTGTATTTAGCTTGCAAAAGGGCGGATCTGGTGGGTGCCAATGTATCCATCTTGGTTTTCTTATCTTAACAAAGATATTGCATGCCATTGCTTTGTATGTACCACACGCATAACCACAAATTATACCACAAAGTGTAGTTGTTGGTATATGCTCATCTTTAAAAATGTAACGGTTCCTGCATTTAGGCAAGAAAAGAACATAGGATATCTCTCCATTTTGTACTTTAGTAACTTTCCTGGAGGAGTTTTTGATCCAATGCAGCCAAGGAAATTGAAAAAACGATCACCCAGTCCTAGCTGAGTCCATACTTGAGCTACAAACGGACAATCTCTCAGAAGGTACAATCTCTCAGAAGGTGTAAGGATGTCTCCGGTTCCTCACCACAATGTGGACAGGTTGAAGAGGAGGCCAAATGTCGTTCAAATCGAACAGCATTAGTTAAAACTCTATTTCACAACAGCATTAATACAACAAGTTGAATTGCACGCCACTAAGCGGTTAAATAAGCCTAATTCCGGAAGTCCCATAGGCAAATATCCTTAATTTTAAGGCAAGGTGATTAAAAACTTTAAAATTTAAAAGAAGTGGTTGGGTTGGAGGAAATAATAATAGTAATAATAAAAATAATTTTGCCGCCCAACAACCAAAAATCAAAATAAAAAAAAAAAGAAACAAAATTAAAAAATAAAACTTAAAGGTGAAATTTTTTTATTAAAAAGTAAAAAACAAACGAGAAATATGTATTCTTTCCATTTTTTAAGAAATATGAATTCCTTAGTTATTTACTCATATAAAAAGAAAATTAGATATTAAGACTTAACTATTATCTAGCTTTCTATTAAAGTTTGGCAATTTTAAACTATTTTTATAATTAGATCAAGAAATAGTCATTACTAACAACCAAATAAGTTCTATAAAGTTTAAGGTTTTTGAACCTCTTAGCTCACATTAAAAGATGAGGAGGTTCTCCTTTAAAATAAAGGACTTGGGGAATTAGCCTTATTTAATGACTTAGGCTTTGTTTGTCTGTGCTTCTTAAGTACAAACTTTTTTTACACAGTACGTTCTTTAAAAATGTAAATTTTTAATTTTTAATTAATTTTAAAAAATCATTGATACATACTTGATTTAACACACTATCTAAGACACATAATATTTAATTGTTAAAATATAATATAAGTATAATTTAATTTAATTGATTTCTCTATCTTGTATAAATGACTGCATCTATAAATTTATTACCCTTTAATTTATAATTCTTATCAAGTCTGTCAGCTGTCATTAATGTGTTCTTTAGGTAAAGCATGTAATTACATCAACACTTTATTCTTTGCAACCTTCTTAAGCTTCAAATGTGTCCCAACCTTTTGGCTTATGGGTTCACGTAATTCTTCGGGCAAATCATGTAATAACTTTATTCGTTTTCCCTTTACTCTTGGAGTACATCAGCTCATGCAAGTTTCTTGGTTGTGAATTTAAGCTTTTAGCTTAAATAATTCTTAATAGTATCAAAAATGATTCTTAACTTAGTATCGAGGTAATGAGCAACTACAATTTGACATCTTAGGTTGCTTGCATTGGTGTACAGATCTACATAATATTTATAATGCTTGAATAGAAAAGTGAAGTTCACTTAATCATTGAAAGAGAGGTAGTTTTTTAGATATTGTGACCTCACTTTCTATCAATCTAGTTCGGATGCGGTTAGGGTTTTAATGAATAAAGTTATGTAGTTTATATAAGTGTGTAGGGTGTACATATACAGTGTGATATAAAAGAGTTTTTTTTGTTTTAATATAATTTTAGATTAAATGGTATATGTGTAATTATTATATTTTTTATTATTAATTTATATAAAAAATAAAATTTGACTTAAATTTTTTTAAACTTTTAATTAAATAATTTAACATGATATTAATATTAAAATTAAAATTTGGTTTAAAAATTATTATAAAAATTTATTGTAAAAAAGTATAATTAATACATTTTTAT